TCAAAAACGATATGTCCCATGCAATTAATAATGATATATTCTGATTTTACGTTAAATTCTACATAGATCTCATATATCATATGTTAATTTTTTATAAGTTAAAATTTCCCGATAAAAGTGGTCACTATCGCCGAACCCGAGGTCGGTCGGCCATATAGATTATATCATTGGACTCCTCATACAATGTACTTTTTATTTATGTTATCAAATCCCGGGTGCCAGCTTAGCCCACATTCGTCATCCTTCTTTGCACTAACTATAAAACTAAAGTTATATCAACAATATTATTTGTTAAATAGTAGTGCACAATAGTGCATGTAAAATGCATTTCCATCTAACTTATCACAATTCTTTTAACAAGTTTATCGTTTTCAAACAACCTTGACTTTTTCCTAATCAATACAGAGATGCACACACATAAAAATGTATATTGCATATTAATAATTATTTTATACATTATTATTTTTATATAAGATTTTTTTCACACTAGTAAAATTCCTTAATGCTCTTTCTCTAATTAATTTTTTAAATATATAAATATGTATCTGCGCGAATTACTTGTGACAATTACACGATTGCTCTGCACTGGTATACTGTAAATCAATATAAAATTAATGTATAATTATTATAAACAATATTACATTATATATTTTATTACTTATTAAATGAAAACCTAATATAACAAAAACCAATTACATTAATTTACATAATATGTTATTATATTTATATTTTATATTTATAATTTGCACGTTATTTGTTATTTATACTAATATTTATAAACATATTATTTAATTAAGTTGTATGATTACTGAGCCAAATTTCACTTAAAAACCTTTTAACTAGTAAAATTAGTAAAATTAATTTTGTAATAGCCATACTATATAATAATGTAAAATCCACTATTAAAATATTACGCTGTATTTATTCTAAGATACTCTTACTAATGACATAATTAAGTACAGTAAAATAGCCAATTCATGTGATGTATTTTTAGTAAGTTTTATTATGCCTAATTTAAATATAAATTATGGTTTAATATTAAAATTATTGCTGTATTTTATTGTATTTCTGGCATATTATTTGGTGGCCTCAGTTGTGGTCTAAATGGCCAGTTAGATTTTAATTATTTTAGATGTAAACGTGTAAATAATATAATTTAACTTTAATATTACAATATAATGGGAGTTAGCTTCAGATAATAGGGTTTTAATAGCCGGGAATATACACTTACCTCCCGGGAGGGCCCCGTGAGTACTTACTAGACTTGTCCCGCGGGAATATCTGTCCTCCCGCTTGGTTGTTGACGTCCCCGTCGGTCCCCGTCGATGGTCTGTGCCCTCCCGGCTCTCGATATTAATTATAACACACAAATAATAATAGTAAAGTATTTAATAAGTATTAAAAGCACAAAAGTATACAAATAAAGTGAATACAAAAAGTTGTGTAACTTTGATGGTAGAGCTGTTACTAATCTAATTGCCAGTGCTGGGGACTGGACTCTGGTTTTATACCCAGTCCTCCTGCTCTGGAATGTGGCAAACAGTGCGCGAATAGGGAGAGGAAAATTCATGGGGGGTTAGCACTTGGTTTTCGTTTACATGGGTTTCTATGGGTTGCATAAGTTTTAATGGGCGGGATTGCATGCATAATACTCTAATATATTATAGCCTTTTTGCTATTCAAGTAATATAACAATATATTGCAATAATTACACTTCGTTTTTTAATTTTAAAACATTAAATAATCTTACATTGTTTTACTTGAATTAAATAAACCATGTTTAATAACACTTTTATTGTCAAATTTTAATAAGAATAAATACCAATTAACCAATTGAATACTTCAAATTAATTTTAGATTTTTAATGTTTAAATAAATTAAATATTTTATTCAACGAACAAATTAATATGTATTTATTTTGTGTTGAGATAAATATCATTGAAAAATATAATGATCAAAATTACACAAGTTAATTAGGGTGCACAGTGCCATCGTAGCCAATTAACCTTCCAGAATCTTCATCTGTTAGCTTCTTTATCACGTTCAGTATACCCTCAGCACTAGTCTCCACATCAATAGCACCGGTAGGACCGCCCATATCGGTCCGCACGTGGCCCGGGTGTACGGCCACAGTATTAATACCATGTGGGGCCAAATCCACGGACAGGCATTTTGTGATCATATCGAGCGCGGTTTTACTCGTAAAGTATGGGTAAATCATACCCATAGGGGCTTTGTGTATGTTTGTGATACAGCCGGCCAGGGATGTAATGTTTGCCACGGTTGTTTTGCGCTTGGTCGCTCCCGATTGCTATATAGTTTATTGTTTTAAGGAAATTCATTATTAATCTATTTTATTCATTAATATATTGTTTTGCAAGTTTATTAATTTTACTAAATAAGTCTAAACTTTTGTTTTTATATTATTACCTAGATTTTTATTCAATTGACATTTTATACTAATTTTAAATCAGACCTATATAATTTTAACTATTGAATTGAAATAATTTGATCTAGATTCTTATTACATACCTTAAGTACTGGCAATAAGGCTTTAGTGAGCATTAGAGGCGCCACTGAATTAACTTCAAAGTTGGTCATCATATCATCGGCGGTCACGGCATCCAGTTTTGACGCAATACCCATTCCGGCGTTATTGATAAGTGTATCCAAACCCCTGTCGCCCACAATATCGGCCACTTGTTTGGCAAAGCCATCAAAACTCTTATAGTCCGTACCGTCCAGTTGTAGGATATGTAGGTTCGCGTGTCGGTCCCGGAGCTCATCCAACGCCGCATTAGTGGCCTGTCGTGTAGTGGCGATCACGTGTTTGGGGCCGCCGTTTGGTTTAGTTAACAATGCGGTCACTAATCCCAAACCAATGCCTCGATTGGCGCCCGTTATTAATACTGATTCAAAACTTGTCATTTTAATTAAAACTTCAAAACTATTATATAAAGCAATTTAATAATTGTATAGCAAATAATCAATATTTAACAAATAAATTTTGTTGAGTTATACAAACAAATTTACAGGTATTTATACTCTAAATAATAAATGCACTATCAAATTCTAGTATTATAGTCAAATAAACTTAATGTGCACTAACGATAAAGCATGTAAAAATTTGTTAAATAGTAGTGCATGTAAAATGCATTTCAATCCAACTTATCACAATTCTGTTAACAAGTTGATGATTTTCAAACGACCTTGACTTTTATCCCTTACAATGTAAAACTATACAGAGATATACATAATGCGCATATTAATAATTATTTTATACATAATTATTTTTATATGAGAATTTATGTACCTTTACTCACTAGTCGTCAGACTAGTTAACTGTCCTTGATGCTTTTTCTCTCATTATATTAATTTTGAAAGTAAAGCGCGGAATACTTAAGGAAATTAAATGATTGATTATCACTGATATACTGTATATCAATATAAAATTAATTTAATTTGATTTGTTAGAATTATTATAAGTAATATTATATTATATATTTTATTATTTAATAAATGCAAAATCTAATATAACAGAAACCAACCACATTAATTTATATTTATAATTTGCATGTTATTTATTGTTCAAATATTTATAAACATATTATTTACTTAGGTTGTATGTTTTTTGAGCCAAATTTCACTTATCAAAATTAATTTTTGCAATAGCCATACTATACAATAAAATAAAATACACTTTAATAATTATGTTAAATTATTACGTTGTATTTATTATATGAAAATTTTACTAATGTTAATGCAATTTCACATTTTCAATTATTTTTATTATGCCTAATTTAAATCTAAATTATCGTTTAATATCAAGATTATTATTATATTTTTACCGTATTTCTGGCATATCATATGGTGGCCTTAGTTTGGGGTCAAATGGCCAGTTATATCAACAAAAGTGGTTCAAATATTATGGTTATTTAGTACAACTATTATTATTAGGGTGGGATATATTTGTACTGTATATGTCTATTTTTACCACTGTTAAGTTATTTGAGATTAGAGATAAAATACCCAGGCTAGCTATCATTATACAAATTGCTACAATACCGATACAATTATTGGGGATATCTACAAAATGTGTTATTGTTTTCCCCTTAAATAGTAACTTTGGATTTGAATTGATCACAATTTGTACCGATATTTTGGGGTATAGGCTACGCCATAAACATAACCAATTTAATCGCTTTATTTTCCTTGTGTTATGCTTATGGCTGGTTTGGCACACAATTACGATCATGCTGTTTTCATCATCAGCAGCAGCTCATTATAATACATTTACTGAGTTTATAAGCCTTTTCTGCCATTATGTATCATTGATCTATATATGGATCATACCGTTAATTACCTGGGTTATATCTGCCTATGCTTATAATATTCTAGATGAGATATTGTACTTGTTTAAAGCTGACAGAACATCAGGTAAATTCATTTAATATTCAATTGATTTATTTAACCTAATTATGCAAAAATTAATAGAGAATATTGAGAATATCATCGCGATGAAACAAAACGTTTTACGATTACACAAAATCATAACTATAATTGACGGGAAAATACGGTACATTATGGTCCTGAATACAGTATCAACAGTAGTAGGTGTTATGTTTCAGATATACTTACTTGTTCTAATTGGGCCCAATAGTCATGGGCATAATGCCGCCCTGACTAATACCCTGGTCAGTGTTTTTACGTTGTCGTCCCTGTCATGTGTGTCAACCGTCGTAGAACTGGTCGTCTCGTGTCTGGTCTGCGGTTCAGTTCAGCAAAAGGTCAACGAATTGAACGCCGCTTTCAATGCCGTGAATGCTATTGATTTACCAGATTATC